AATACCTCAGAAAGAATTGTAGTTATCTGGGCAAAAGGCTGGCCGACGACCTATATATAAGTGCGATTTTGACAACAAATCGTCTCGTCCGTCTCCAGTTCAATGAAGGAATATGTTTTCTGATTCAAGTCGATGAAGGAATCATATTTCCTAATTTTCTGATTCAAGTCGATGAAAGAATCATAGGAGGAATAGGTTTCCGCTGAATTACTGATTGGAGGGAATCTTCGATTTTGTCCTAAAAATATGGAGGGAAAGATTAATAATTTGGGGGAGGGAAATTTAAAAAAAAAAAAACTTGTTGCGCTGAAAGTTTGGGCATAAAATTAAAGGTTATTTTTAATTTTTAATGGCAATTAATTTTTATTGCCGATAAAGGGTAATTTTTTAGTGGCTAATGGTCATATGCCGCTAATATTTAAGCTTAAAGAATTTATTAGCGGCAATTGCCTTATTGCCGCCAAAGGCCTTTTTGTAGTAGTGAATTTCTGCTAAACCAACTTAGATTTAAACCAACATTATTAAGATAAATCATCATAATTTATATTCTGGAACTGTGCTCTAATAATTTAAGCAAGCAATCTTGCAAAAACCAAACTGCAAGTTGATAATAAATGCACATGTGACCATAGAATAGATGAATCTATTAAAATCATATAATAGTAAACGGTCAACATGGCAGGTGATTGAGCCCATATATTTATCACCTTTTATTTATTCCAGATATCAAGGGATACAATCCCAACCTTAACTGGTATATCATGAGAATAAGCAGCACAAGAAAATTCTTGAAGAATCTTCTATTCTTCAATATATGCCAATGTAATTCTCAATTAATTTTTTCGCATCATAATTGAATCGGGATGGTCAACCAGTTATGCTAACTAATATTTATTTCAGTAAACCTCTAGTTTACTTATGGCATATGATTCAAGCATCATGCTTATATTTGTGTAGTACAAATAGAAATAAAATCGGATAACCTTTTATATTTATCCGGTATGATTATAGAGAAGATATCCAATCTTCCTTTTATTTATTGTCTCAATATAACAACCACTTTGACTTATACATTTGAAACTCAAAAAGTTTCTTTTGAGACTTTACAATATCAATATCATGAATAATTTTATTCATCCCGGTAGTAACAAATTAGTTTTTTCGGAGCTCTTAACAACTTTTGTACTACAAGATCTTTTATCATACCATTCATATGGTAAATGTCTCCTTCACAGAGAAACTTATATCATAATAAATTGTCATGGTCAGAATCATCATAAGCAAAATCATTTATTGCTTTAATTTTGCCTTTAATAACTTTTATAAGGCATGGCAAAATAACATTTGGCATATCACATGTATGCGACCAATGACATATTCATGTAACCACATTGTAATATTCATTATCTTTATTTCTCTCAGACCTCCCTTAGAGGTGAGTTGTGGTATTTATCCAACTATGCATAAGCACATTCTTATGCATAATTTTTATCACATATATATATTTCAACATTTACTTTTAGGAATGAGCCTGCATTTACAATGCTTATCACAAGTCACATTCTCTTCAAGGAATGGATCATAATCAGCGATGTACTTCATACCAATTTGATGGTAAACATTGCCTTCACATTTTGAAGGACTATTTTGAGAATCTTTGTTGTTCTCCTTTTATAATCATTGTGATGATTATTATTATTTGGAACGCTCAAGTTCATTGTTCAACCACTTGTTCGCATTTAGACTTATTATGCACTGCTATCACATTCACTTCAAGAATGGAGCTAATCAAGTGGGACAATCTTCATGCCTTTTCATAAAAAATATATTATTTTTCTTTAGTCATTATTATATCATCAATATGGTACATTGGGGCTCAAACCCAATGTCTTACCAATATAAAGGCATGTTAGGCCATAATAAATTTGGGCCCAAACCCAACTCTTATCATTATGGAGCATCAGGACTTGATCCCGATGTCACCCTCAATTAATGACATAATAGGCTAAACAATATTGAGATTCATTCTCAAGCCTTAATTTCAATCACATGCCAATAAAGTTGTACACAACTAATTTGCAACTTAACAAATCAAATTTGTTTTCTTAAATAAGTGTACAAATCTCAAATAAGCGTAAAGCTTTATCAATTATTTGTAGCATCTATATGAAATACAACCATTTGTAGTCAAAATATTTCTTCTAAATTCTATTAGAGTTTAAATGGATCATAAAATCATTGTCATAATATTTATTGAGCCTCTCTAAAAAATATTATTATTATTGGGGTATACCCTACCTATTGGATTTGATTTAACGCCATGACTTTCCTTCACTCAATTCAACCAAGCAATTAGTGAATAAATTTATCAAAAGTACATTATATAGGTAACAACATCTATATAGTACTAATACATAAATTCAGCATTTATATTACCTGAAAAGTGACATTATAGGTAACAACTTACCAGTTGTAGTTTATGCATCATTCATATAAAATACTTGAAAATGGTAAGTCGGTAACAAGCATCAAGTAGATCATGGATACTCAAAAATACCTCTTCTAGTAGTCATACTAATCACTGTTTGTTTTCAAATGATACAACCATAAATTATGAAGTATACTTTCTCAGTAGCTGATTTGTTTTCCAAATTTCAAAGAAGTAATTAATCAACCTAGATAAAGATGTGAAGTATTTCTTATTTTCTTCAAGATGATTTATGCTTCTAATCAGTATGACATTTTTTTAATTTTATTCTCCTTTTTTTTTACTATAAGCAAGTGCAAAAATCCAAAAGGAAAAAATATTCATCCAAGTAAAAGAAAATATTAAAAGCGGTAGGACATATTTAAGATAGTTAACACACAAATATGAATAAGACAACTTACATAACATATCCTTGGTTACCATGACATGCCTCATATCAACAATTAACTGCTACTATGATTTTCACATATAAAATTTCGAAAATTTTATTCCATTCATGTGATATGAAAGATGTAATATTAGTATGTGCTTATGCAATACAGGTATGGTATGAAGTTGTGTGCATACGAGACATTAGAGAAATGACAAATATAAGATAATCATACCTTCTTATATTTCATTACTTACCATATGTAGTTTCTCTTTACATCTAACCATGAGATGATATGTATGTCTGCTAATTGCAATCTTTTCGGTTGTAGGAAATTTTTTGTAGATGTACATACAATTGGTTAGAGACTCGTGCTGATAACGTGTTATGAAATAAAACCAATTTAGTAAAACATGAACAAGAAATAAAAGCAATTAAATAAAACATGAACAAGAAATAGGATAGAGAGAAAGAAGAGATTTGCTTCTTCAATTGTGTGTATTTTTCTATCTATTACAAAGCATTTATATAGACATAAAAAGTGAAGAAAATATGTCATGAAATATGTCATTGAACATACAAAATATGTTATTAAACATTTGAGATGAAGATCATGGAAGAAGAGTAGACATCCACCATAATATGATATTTATCGTAACAGCCCAAACCAATTATTGGAACTAGATAATTTTCTTTCAGATTCCTTTTTTCAAAAACTGATAGAGTAAAAAAATTTAAGTTTTTCTTTTTTTTTTTTAAATAAAAAAGTCTATGTACTCAGTTTCTAGGTTAGTGCTCTAGTACCTATCCTAGCTAATCTACCAGAAGAAAATCCTGGACCTGGAAATGTGCCACGTGGTCCACACGTTACCGTGGTGAACTGAAAAGCTTTCTTTGATTTCTTGCAAAGGGCGGGCAGTTGGATATGGGTATTAACTGTCAAAACCGTGTGTGTTAGATACAAGTGAGTGTAGTATCAGTTAGACATAAGTGGCTTTCAATTGTTTGAAAGGTCATTTTTCTAACTTATCCCTTCAAAAACAGATTTGCACTTGGTCTTCAAGAGGAAACTCGAAAGGCAACTCATTCTTTAGCTTTCCCCATTCTTCTCGAATAATTTGCTAGAAAAAAAATATCGCCTATAAATTACTACTATAATTTATGACGCTTTTCACTTTTTGAGATTAAAACTTCTTATCTAATTGAACATAGGATTTAGCGAATTAAAAATAACTTAAAAAGTAATATAAGTCACAATAACTAATTATTTAAAATATTTCAAAAATATATAAAAAATTACAACAACTTGTTTGACACTCCAAATTGGAATAACGTCACATAAATGATACACATCCTTTTTCATCTATTAGACTATTGCTAAGTAGTCTTCGATAAATATTCATTTGTATGATAGCACTAATTATTTTTGGAATGGAAAAACAACTTTAAAGTGAAAATTTGCTAAAGAAGTATATTTTTTTTTAAAGAAACACACTCTCCCATAAAAAATGAGTCATATATACAGGGAGAAAAGTAAGCAGCCTAATCAGAATTGACACAATAATTAACTAATACGCATTAGTAGTATATATCCTCTAAAAGATCAAGTTGGCATAAAAATTATTGAAAAAGATTCTAACAAATGGATTCACTAAGATAAGTATTATTTACAGTATTAGCCTTCGGAAATGCTTACGTAGCCTAATTAGCAAGAAGATTAGTTGTATTCAGTAGCCATATATGGTTGCTGACCTTTGACAGCTACCGGCAAATTGGTGGTTCCCCAAAGATTCACTAGTAAATTAAATTGGTGGTACAAAATAGATGCAACATGAATTAAATATACTTATTTTAATTGTTTCAAATGATGACAAAGATTGGTCAGTCGTAGCCAAAGTGTAGTCCCAGTACTCTAGATAAGATAGGAGTATATTCCAAAAAGGGAGGAAGGAAGAAAGAGAGCAGAAAGTAGAAAGTAGAAAGTAGAAAGAGTAACAAGTTGCCGCATCCGCAGAATCCACGCGAGTTATACACACATTAGACTAACTAGAATTCCAGTTGTCCCATAAAACAGCTGCCAGCTGCACTAATTAATTAGACAATTTTTAATACCCTTTTCAAAATACCAGCCTGTCTCCTTATCACCCTTCAACTCCGTGTGTGTTATATTTCGCGTCATCAAACCTTTTTAGCTTCAATGCTCTTCGCTTATCATAATCTTACTTCCACTATATATATAGAGAGAGAGTAGCCACTTTTTCACATTGACCAGAAAGCAAAAAAACCTCAAACTGAAACAACATCCAATACACTTTTCAATCACTGACCAAGAATAATGGATATCTTTAGAAGCTATTATTCGGACCCACTTGCTGAATATTCATCAATTTCTGACAGTAGTAGCAGCTCCTGTAATAGAGCTAACCATTCTGATGAGGAAGTGATGTTAGCTTCGAATAACCCCAAGAAGCGAGCAGGGAGAAAGAAGTTTAGAGAAACTCGACACCCAGTATACAGGGGAGTGAGGAAGAGGAATTCAGACAAGTGGGTTTGTGAACTCAGAGAACCAAACAAGAAATCAAGAATATGGCTGGGCACTTTCCCTTCTGCAGAAATGGCGGCTAGAGCTCATGACGTGGCGGCTATTGCATTAAGGGGCCGTTCTGCTTGCTTGAACTTTGCTGACTCTGCTTGGAAGTTGCCTATTCCAGCTTCAACCGACGCCAAGGATATTCAGAAAGCGGCGGCGGAGGCCGCGGAGGCATTCCGGTCATCGGAGGCCGAAAACATGCCGGAATACTCAGGAGAAGATACGAAGGAAGTGAACAGTACTCCTGAAAATATGTTTTATATGGATGAGGAGGCGCTATTCTTCATGCCTGGATTACTAGTGAATATGGCAGAAGGACTAATGTTACCTCCACCTCAGTGTTCACAAATTGGAGATCATATGGAAGCTGATGTTGACATGCCTTTGTGGAGTTATTCTATCTAAGTATAACTCTGGTTATCACTTAGTATTGGGTGATATTCCCTATAAGTACAGTTACTTCAATTAAGATTTCGGAGGTTTTGGTAAATTTCGTACTCATGAATATTTGGAGGGTACGGATGTATATAGGCGTTGTGAATTTAGTATGATGTACTAGTAGTACTCCTATGTTCTAGTAGTAGTTCTGGCTAAATGCAAAACATTGGCCTAGGCAGAAAAAAACATTAGCTTTGTGAATTTCAAGCCATCGTATTTGAATGAAATACGCACAAGTTAACTTAGCAGCTATATCATGTCTCAGAATGCTCAGCATACTTTGCCTTGCACACGATTTAGAATTAGTTAACTTAGACTAATATTCTAGGATGTAAAACATTTTCCCATTTTCATATCAACAAAGTACAACTTCTAGCTTCTTCTTTTTTGCAGTTTTTAAATATCTAAAATTTAATTTATTAACTCAATCTAGGCGAATATTATGCAACATATTGAAGTTAATTTGTTGCTCACATTTTTGTTATAGAAAATCGAGTTGACACTTTTTAGTGTCCATGTTGAGTATGCGCACAGATAATTCTTATGGAAATTAAGCCATTTGAAGGACTAACAATAAAATAAATCTTTGTTTGGAGTTCATGTAGGCCTACACAACTACCAAATAGTTGGATCTATATTGGCAAGACTGAACCATTAAGTAAAAAGCGATAAAACAACGAAACCTGTGAATGCAAAAACCAATCATCAAAGGCGTTTAAGAAATGAGTAATCGGCAGAATTCATTGGAGAGGGCCATGTGTCTAAGTTAGTACTACAATAGATTCCTAGTCCAGTAGAAGAAAAATCGAAGGGGGAACCACAATACAAGATCCTGAAGCTGGAAATGTTGCGCGTGGTCCACGCGTTTCAGTGGGAGCAAAGTTTGATTTATTTCATTTCTTGCAAAGGGCGGGCAGTTACAAATGATATTAACTGTCAAAACCGTGTGTTGGTACTAGTGAGTGAGTGTAGTATCAGTCAAAATATCATATTGAAAGCTCAGTTTTTAACATTTGAAGTCTCTATTAGACAAGGGGTGCCGGTTGGGGCGGCTAAGATGTTCCAAGAATCTGAATGTCTATAGGCTTTTATTATAGCTTCCCACGTCCTCCTTGCTTTTGACCTTCAGATTCTCCCAACATCTTAATCTTTTCTTCTACGGCGATGATATGTCCCTCTACTATTAATAATTTTTTTAAAAATATCCTTCGTTATACTATTTATTTATTTAAGTCCCTACAGTTATACTATCACACAAATAAATCCCTAATTTTAACGGATTGCTACGTGGCAGCTCAGGAATAAAAAGACAGACCCTCTGTTTTAATAGCAGGATCCAATTAAAACCAACTCCTAATAATTTTTTACCCATGCATTATCCGACCCAATTTATCTATGTACATATCCTTAGTATTTGTTAGTTGACCATCTACCCCTCCTTCTCTCTAGGAAGAAGGTGAATAGTAATTCCGTCACTATTCACCGGGCCATAACTCCGGCATCCGGCAAGGTAATATCACAAGATTGGTCTTAAAAGAACTCCCTTCTCTTAGAGAACAATCCCCAACTGGTTTCATCCTCAAATTCATAACCTATTTTTCTAGATCTTAAATTCTATTTCGCGATTTACTGTAGCAAGCAGAATTTTCCAGATTTTGTTGTTATTTTCAGTTCTTCACGTCAAATATGGTGACGTTTTAAGCAACAATGGATGTTGTCGTCTCTCCCCAGCCTTTGGTTGTGGGAGAGCCACCAATAAAACCCATATATGCTCAGCAAATCGCAACAAAAATAGACCTCATACCTCGCACAACTCCAAAACTCAAACCAGTCCAGTTCATCCATGGAGAGCCAACTGTAATGTTTTCCTTAGAAGAACGACAACAGTTTGCTGTGGAGGAAGGCTTGCATCAATCAGTAGTGATGAAAGTATCTCCAGGAGCACCAGAACTCAATGAGCAACGAGATTTACTGCCCAAACACTTAGGTGTTAAAGGTCGATGTATCATCGATTTACTCGCACCAAGACAATTACTACTAAGGTTTGATCGTTATGATGATTATGTAAGTGTTTTAGCTCGCTCTGTTAATTATCTGCTGTATAAGGGTGTTCAGCTTCAATATCGTGTATTTACATGGACGATTGGTTATAACCCAAAGGAGGAAACAACAAAAAGTAGTGGTTTGGATATCGTTGCCGAATCTGTCACCAGATTTGTTTGCGATGCCTTCATTGTTGTCTATAGCATCTGTTGTAGGAAAACCAATTGCCATTGATAAGGCAACACAAACTAAGTCCAGACCTAGCACTTCTAGGGTGAAGGTGATATTAGACTTGCTTGACAAACATCCTAATCGCGTAAGGTTGCAAAGTGTGGATACAATTTCTGGAAAAGTACTGGAGGTTTTTCAAGAAATCGTTTACGATAATTTACCACTGTATTGTAATTGTTGTAAGCATCAAGGCCATGATGAAACTACGTGTCGAAGACTGCAGAAAAAAAATCGTGATGAGGATGCTCAGATTGATGAAGAGCAGCCTCGTCAAGAACAAATTGGTGGTGCGAAATACAATGGAGATTTGCGTCAGTTTTTGAATGAGAGGAGGGCCTTAAATGATGGTGATCGAACTGCTGGAGATCACATTAACCATACAGATGCTACAAAGGTGTTAAGAGATCCTCAAAGGGCTCATGAACACGCTGAAAATTTGATCAAGATAGCACATGTAACAGCTGTATCTACTGCTGCTTTGGTTCCTGTTGATACAGCTCTTGCTAACGCTTCTCATCATGAAGCTGTAGCAGGGCAGAGTTATTTATGACCAGTCTCAAAGGATGCTATTAGCGATCGAAATAGCATGGGGAAGGATAATGTTGACAAAGGTGCTGGTGAGAATGATGAGAAATTACTCAGCTTGGCAAGCATGGCTAATGGTATTGTTGGTGAGGGAAGTAGGGCACGTGAAGGTATTGTAGAGCAGCATGATCTGGTTACTGCAACAGGTATGATGGCTACTACTGCTTCGAAAACAATTGGGGATCGAGCTGTAGCACTTTTTGAACCAGCTGAGAAATCAGCAGTTGTAGGTGCACAATTTGCTACAACGACCAAGTTTGAGTCAGTTGTGCAAGCAGTTAGTTTTGAGGCTGCTGGAGATATTGAATTAGGCATTGAAGGTTTTGGGAAATCTCCTAATGACCAAAGAAAATTCAAGGATAAATNCAGGTTACTAAAGTAACCTCTCATCATAGTAATGCTAACAGGAATGGACAGGAACTTGAGAAAGGAGATGGTGTAACTGGAATTCGTGGCAAACGAGATACTGGTGAAGTTGGTGGAACATCTGCTAACAAAAACTCTACTAATATGTTAGAAGCAGGATCTCAACGTGGGCAACAATCACCTGCTAAGGGCTGGGCTGTAGTGCATCGATCACCTAGCAGAAAAGAATATTCAAATCATAAAAATCTGGAGGCAGCAACAGAGTTTAAGGTTTCTAACTCTTTTGACGCCTTGGTTTGTGCACATGAACATGTTAAGCAAGATCTTCAGCATAAGGAGCTAAATGTAGATTTAAAAATTATGCAACAGAGGTCTCTAGCCAGTACAAAAAATCAGCAAAATTCTGGTTTTCCTTTGGACATTGTGCCAGTTGCGAGGGAGCTAAAGGGCAATCATGCACATAGCTCCAGTGCTCCGGCCTTGCAGTTCTCCAATCCACAGGTGGAAAAAATAATCAAACATGCACATAACAAGATGATGCTAAATACTAATATGGTTAAACAACCATATGTTACATTGAACACTTCCGTCTTTGAAGTACCATCACAATCGTTGGACTCTTGTGGCGAACATGGTGGTGATCAGGGACAGGTGGTGTTGTCCACAGAAAACAACAATGAGTTAACTAAAGAAAATGTGAGGGCAATGGCAATTAAATCTAAGATATGGGATGATCAACCTAAGTATGATGATGAAGAAGATTTGGGTGTTGATTTTGCGGAGGATT